AAATATATAATATATATTTAAAAAGGTTTAGAAAAGCGTCTATGTAATTTTCAGCTACTTTTACACATAGATTACAATAATGTACAAGTCTCCCCCAGGGTGGTTTGAAACCACGGGGACCCGCCAATTCCTTCCTCTCAATCATACACATTATCCAACATCAAATGCATTTGTTCCTAATGCAGCTCTGAAAGTCTGTCACTGGTACCTTCTGAGAGGGAGAGATGCCTAATACTCCTAATGGGGACACATTTAACATTGGCTTCATATTCACTGTAGAAAGTTCCCAGATTAGTACAAAAATATTTCATCTATAGAAAATGCCCTTCTGAAAAGCAACCAGGGCTCTGTTAAGGCCACACCCAGGCTTTCCATTTCTCTGCTGTAGCAAGATAGATCAGAAACAACCCCAAAATGATGTTTTTATGTCCCAGGAACAGCTAATTAGCACCTATGCTTATTTTACAGCAGCCTGGTGTATCAGGAAAGTGCTGAGAACAGCATAAGGGACTTCCTGAAACATGCTTCCGATTCAATGGGGCTCAGTTGGCACAGTGAAAAACTCTATCTTCTCCTGTTCCACTCAGGTGGACAAGAGGAAGCCTTCTACACCACAACCAGCACCCTCCCCTGCAGCATGATGCTGGATGCTCCAGAGTGGGCACACTGAAGCCACTGAAACCAATCTCTGAAACAGCACACCCTTTTCCCACAGGCTTTCCACCAGTGAGCTCCTTCAAATTCCTCTGCAAGCCTGTGGGATACCAAGTACAAATGTGGTGGCTTAATCAAAACATCCAACTACTCTGCCCCGGAGGGCACACCAAGCGAGAGCAGAGCCAACCTTCCGCCAGCCCGAGGCACTGGGAGACCTGCTGCCACAGCAGAGAGAGGACAGCCATCGAGAGGTTCCTCCAGCAAAGCCAACTCTTCACATGGGAAAACACTATTTCCTGGCACAGGGTCTTCTGGCCAAGGTTGTTACCAGTGCTCCTCTTCGGACATGTTCAGCCCAGAGTCTCTCCAGATGGTTCAAGACAGGGTAGGTTTGTAGGAAGAGCCGTGACACACAACAGGATTGTTATTTTTAAGCTCTTCCTCTTGCAGCCAGATGCAGGTTGCCCCTTCTTCCCAGGTGGGCAGCCCCTTCTGCCCAAGGCATGGTGTGCAGGGAAACCGAATCCTATATGCTCCATTCTTTTCTCTGCCAGGGGTGGGAAGTGAAGTCAGAACCCGATCTTCAAACCTGAAGGACACTAGGAAGAAGAAGAATAAAGAGAATGGTTAGATCTCAGTCTCAGTGGGAATTCTGGATGCACAGATAAGGAGTTAATTACTATCCATCAGCCCCTGCTGCTCAAAGGATGCCAGCTTCCAGCAAGGAACAAGCACAGATCACAAGAGACCTTGACCAATGAAGAGTCAAGTGGAGGATGCAACTGCTCAGCTTCAGAGTACAACTGAGAAAAAGAAAGACAAAACAAAAGCACAATGGTCAAAAGTAAGCACTCCTGTAAGGTACCAGCAAAGCTCTGCAAGACAAGGAGGTTTAAAAAAGGACTTGGCTAACACCAGAAGCATTGCGGGAAAGCAGCAAGGAAAAGGGAAACTACTCTCCACTTGAAGCAATCATGAGTATCAGCTGGCAGGGAAGAGACTAAAAAAAGGGATTTTTTAGAAATCTTACACTAAAACCCTTTATCTCACCCACTTAAAGAAATCCTCTACCTAGAGACTGAGATGAGCTCTGAGGCAGAAGCTCTTCCCTGGGAGGGTGCTGAGGTGCTGGCACAGGGTGCCCAGAGAAGCTGTGGCTGCCCCATCCCTGGCAGTGTTCAAGGCCAGGCTGGACACAGGGGCTTGGAGCAACCTGCTCTAGTAGAAGGTGTCCCTGCCCGGGGCAGGGGGTTGGGACTGGATCAGCTTTAAGGTCCTTTCCAACATAAAACAGGCTTGGATTTCATGAACTTCATGCATGGAACAAAGCAAATCCATTGGTTTTAACATCAGATAGCTCCTCTGTATTGATTAAGCAATTCACATACTACGTATGGAATAATGATATGAAAAAAGAACACAACCATGCTATTAAGAGCTCATGTTCTCCCTCTTACACATCTGATTATAGACACATATTCACCACTACTAGACCCTACCCTTTGATAAACATTCCCTCAGCTTCTCTGCTTTACATTTAAAAAGCCCAGGTAATGAAGGCACCTGGGACCACAGGACAGCTTGCACGTATTTCAGAAACACTCCTGTGGTGATGAGATACAACAGGAATTTCATTCAGGTTGCTGCTCTACTCCATAAAGGAGTTTACTACCTGTTAAGTTAAATCTACCTACCTTTACACAGCTTTTTCTCCTTCTAAAAGGGAATGCAGCTCTCCCAGAAGCTTTTTTACCCACTCACTTCCGAGGAAGAAGTGTCTAACTGCTGCAGAGTTGGGCACAGGAACCATCCCAGGCAAGGCTGTTCCCACTATAGAGCTGTAGCATTTTACATGATTACACCTACCTTTTTGTGCTCCTGAAGTTAACTTGGTACCCAAGTATGGTTGGAGGCCTGCGAGGTGCTGGGATAGCTGGGAGTAGGCAGAATGGGTTCAAAATTAAAGTCCAATCCTTCTCCATCCATGAGTTCACTGTTGATGATGTAATCCATATCACATTCAAGGTTTTCCATGTACATGTCAATGTCCAGGTCAATGGGCAGCCTGTCCTGGTTCAATCCCAAGGGAGCAGGGCTAGCAGAAGAAAGAAGCAGTGGACTGCCCAGCTGGACTGACTGGGCAGTTGTTGCAGAAAGTGGAGCCTTCAAACTGGTGATGCTGGCAGTATTCTGAGGAGATGTTACTATAGGAAGTGTTGATGGCAAAACACTCGCACTGGCTGGTTCTGCCTGCTGCTCTGTAGGTTTTCCTCGTGGATTGCCTGAGCTCATCTTACTCTGGGCAGCCTGTCCACCTAGAAGCAGAAGAGTTCGGCTGCTCATCCTGTTACCAGTCTGCGGGAGAACTGGATCCACCTGAGTCATCATAACATCCCTTGGAGGTGGAGAGCTGGGTGTCAGAAGAGCTTCCAGGGTCTGAGGGGCAGAGAAATGGCTGACAGAACTTTGTAGTGAGATATCAACGGGGTTAAACAGGGAATTGCCAAAAGTAGTGGTCTGAGCAGCTGCATTCCGTAAGGGAAAGCTGGAATCCCTCTGGATCTGACCACTTGAGGCAGATTGCTGGGTAGATAACACAGATGAGCTGGGAGACATCAAATTTAACCCATCAATGAGCTCAAGCTCCTCAGTCACAGTTGGTGGAACATTGCTGGATGCACTAGAGTACACTAGAGAAGGAAGTAGCTCTTCATCATGGAGGTCATCCTGCTCTGTCAGGATAGGAGAAAGCCTGGCACTAATGGTGCTTGCATTGGAACTGGTTCGAGGCCGGAACGTGTTCCACATGTCAGAGTCCTCATTGCTTCTTGAGGATGGGCTCCCAGGCCACTTAGGGAATTGGGAGCCAGGACTGTCAGCAGTGGATTCTGGAGCAGACTGGAGAGGAGGCTTCTTTCTAGATGCTTTACCTCTGACTTTTGCAAGTTTGCTGCTGTTGTCCATGGAGGCAGCTCTTCTCCTTGGTGCTTTTCCACTTTTACCACCCTCGGGATTAAGCATCCACCAGGAGCTCTTCCCTGTGGCTTCATTATGGACTTTAATAAACTTGCTGTGCAGGGACAGGTTATGTCTAATAGAGTTCTGAAAAAAAAACCACAGAAAACCAGAAACACAAAATCAAGATAGGAACTTCCGGACACCGCACAAGCATAAACATATTCAGATAGTTCCCAGAGAACAAACTTACAACCATTAAGAACTGCTATTCCTTCTTGAACATGCTTGACAGCACTAGCAAGCAGTGCCATGTCTCACTGCAGCACCAAAGGTGAAACTACCACAACTAGCAAAATTCCAGCAAAGAACTTCTCAAGACCATACAGGATCTGCAAAAACTGGGCATACCCCAGAGAAGTAAGCAACTTCCCAAACACAGGTTGCAGCTTCAATGTAAGCCTAATTTGAGCTAATGCTGCTCCCACCTTTCTGCCAACCCCACTACTGAGCATAAGCGTAGCTGAACATTTAAGCACAGCCTGGCAGCAAATAAATAGACTGAGTGAAGAGAAAGAGCAAACCACTTCTAATTCAGTACACCTGGCACCATCTTCATCCCAAAACCAGAGAAACAAGGGAAACTTTGTGGAACAAGAGTCCTAGCAATCCTGGAGCCTGCCGGCCTCCCTGGGCACGGAAGCAGCACACTTTCCTCTGCCTTTGTTTCTCCTAGGGTAAGGTGGATAGTGCAGTCCTGCTCAGCACATGCCAGTTTGAGCCTCTCCTAACTCCCTTCTTTTGGCTTAGCTTTGCTGGAACCTGCAAGCTGACATATCTGTACACCATCATCAAACTGAATTTCCATCCTGCAACTGCTAAAATCCCTGGTGTTTTAGAGTAAGCAAGCAGTAACTCCTTGTTTGAGCAGATCCTCCATGAACTCCCCTTGAGGCCTGTGTCATGCATTTGTTTGATATTTGCATTTCACTTGTTCAGATGGTCAAACACATCTTTGAAAGATGCTATGCTGCTAGCATAGCAGTGGTCCAAGTGCAAGACCTTTTTCACACAAACTAAAAGGCATATAGCAGCCCTCAGCTTTCATGCATTCCCTCTTAATTCTGAACCAAGTTATCTGTGCTTTTATCACCCTTTCCCACCAGCTCTCAACACAGTTCTTTCCTGCCTGCTGCTTTCCCTCTCCCCACCCTTTTCCTCTCGGACAAGTCCTCCCCATGCTAATTTTGGCCACCTCACCAAAAGTACTATCCTAGAACAAAGCAGATGTAGATAAACAATACAGGGAAAGTGGAAAGTTTTCATGGAGAGGGAAGGAGGTGTGAGAATCACTCCGTGTTGGCTTTGGCTGTTGGGAACTTGGAGCAGAATGGCTGCTTGTTGCGATCCAACGATACATGTGCTCTGACTTGGAGAGCACCCCAAGAGTCACTGCAGAGCCAGGGCCTGATGGAACATGTGTTAGCCAATGCTCTTACACAGCTTTATGACTTGAGCTGTTCACAGCAACAGCTATACAACACTCCCGCTGGCATCTTCTCTAAATAAAGCTTTCTTTTCCTTCAAGTCTTGAATAAAGTACCCCAGAACCAGCACCCTGTCTCCCAGAAGGCTGCTCATTTCCTTTCCAAAGATCTACCCCCCCCCCCCCCTTCCTGGGTAAATGTGCATGACTGTGAATGCAAACTGCTGCAGCAACGGGAACCACCAGGTTGTCACCAGTTCTTCATTTATTCTTCCGAAAGTAACCTGTGAACTCCTGATGACCCCCAGTGCCATCAGGAACGAGCCGGTAGCTTGTACACACAGTATACACTTGGAGTCTCATAGCCACCCCTTTTTTAGCTCAGTTTACCAAAAAGGAACTTTAAACCAATAGGTCCAGGACTTCAAAGTGTCACAAATATTCTGTCTTCTTCTCATGCACTGCTATAGGCAGGTTTTAATTCCTGTGTCAGCAAAGCACTGGTGAGAGCACTTCTGAGACCTCAAGAAAAACAGCATCACTTTGGGTACCATAAGGGACAATGTTAGCAAATAGTTTTCTATATTTTTTGGCTGAAAAGCAGCTTGAAGAAAGACATCTTGGAATAAGCCTAGGATTCACATGGACACAGATATGTGAAGCCCAATACTTTTTATGAAACAGTCTCAAAGTGCTTTTTTGAGTTACTGCTAAACTGACGTAACAGCTGATAGCTGTAGAAACGGGTAATTGCTGTACCACTCCTTCCTCATCTTCAAACTCTCCTCCTCTAACAACATAAGCATCTGTGACTCTATGAGCTTGCTCAGAGTTGCTAACCCAACTGAAAAGCAGCCTTATCCTCCCTTAAAAATCACAGACCTCCAGGTCAAACATGACAGAGGAAATGACACAGCTGAGTCACCCAGGCAACCCCAATGCGTTTCCTTGCTCCAAGTTAAGCAACTCGAACCAGACACATACAGATGACATTTAACTTTTTAGATGCTCAACTTCAGCAGCACGGGAAGACCCTGCTGGTCTGAGCACCTGCCATCCACACAAGAGCTTGGCTCTGCAACATCTTTGACCGTAAGGTAGAGGCAGAGGCAGGAATCCTCCAAATTCTTAGGGACTTCTTCAACAACCAGTTCGGGGTGGTTACTGCTGTTTATTCACACATCTTACACAGGTTCTCATGACTGTTCATTAAGTGGTGTGGTGAAAAACAGGCAGTCTGTATGTGTAACCCATGGGAGATCAGAGGTTACCCCTGGAGCCATCTTCAGACAAAACCATCCAAAATTGATGACAGTACACACAAAAGTGTGTCTAGAGACATTTCTTGTACACTGGAGAGAGAAAGACTGTTCAAACCGTGGCTCAACCACTGGGGTACAAGCTAGGACACATGGCGCAGCCACAGGAGCGTGCCTAGCAGCAGACACCCACAATTTCCTATATCTGAGTTACCACAACATAAACCCCATCTTGATAAAATCTCCCAGCCCTCTTCAAAGAGCAGGAACACTCCTCAGCACTGGACCAGGCCTGCCCCCACAGCAGCACCAGTGCTGCTGCGGACCCTGCCCAGCAACCAACAGTGCTTCAGTATCAGGATGGGAAATTAGCTAGAGAAGCTGGCAGCACAACCAAGCAATTATCCCAGTGGATCAGCCTTCTTTCTGGACAGCTGCCATGAACACCCAAATATCATGGAAAAAAGCATAGAGAAGAGAGAATGCCAGTGAAAGCCTTTTCAGGGGACTATATAGCTTTGTAGCTAAGGCTGAGGTAATCTACCATAAACCCAAAGTTTTACTCAGAGCAGGTCAGAACATTCAGGATGGTTTGTTCAGACTTGAAGGTTCCTCACACTAAAAAAACAAGTTTAAACTCATCTCCTGTGATGTTCTTTCTTCTAAGCACAGATGTGCCCCATCTGGAGCACTGCATCCAGCTCTTGCTCCCCCAACACAAGAGGGACACGGAGCTGCTGCAAGGGCTGGAGCAGCTCTGCTCTGGAGCCAGGCTGAGAGAGCTGGGCTGGGGCAGCTGGAGAAGAGAAGGCTCCTGAAGGGGACACCTTAGAGCAGCTCCAGGGCCTAAAGGGGCTCCAGGAAACCTGGAGAGGGGCTTTGGACAAGGGCCTGCAGGGACAGGACAAGAAGAATGGCTTTAACCTGCCAGAGGGGAGCTTGAGATGAGCTCTAAGGCAGAAGCTCTTCCCTGGGAGGGTGCTGAGGCGCTGGCACAGGGTGCCCAGAGAAGCTGTGGCTTCCCCATCTCTGGCAGTGTTCAAGGCCAGGTTGGACACAGGGGCTTGGAGCAACCTGCTCTAGTGGAAGGTGTCCCTGCCCGTGGGAAAGCCACTGGGAGTAGAACTGGATGAGCTTTAAGGTCTCTTCCAACCAAAACCATTTTATGATTCTACGTTCGACCTAAGATACAGCTCCCTGCCTGCCGAGCTCGACATCTCTGCTCACATGTAGCTCCTGGAAGGGGATGGCTGGTAACATGGTTTTGCTCCCTGGCAGTTGGTTACTTGCTGGAGCGTAACTGCAAAATCTCTGCAGTGAAGACTTCTTCCTGAAGCCTTTGGAGCTACGTGGCTGGGTGAGTGCTGAGAGGCACTGGCAAATGCAGCAGGCA